ATATCCGCAACATCTTGGAAACAAAAAATGGCTTGCATTTTGATACGCCAATCATCGAATAACTTGCCGTCAAACATCGGCAGAGGTCCTTGTACCATTCCTCCCATACCAGCCATTCGGTTTTTGAATCTTGAATCTCGATCAAATCTTCAATGGGCTTTCACGCGTCTGCACCTCCTCAAAAATCTTGACCAAGTACTAACAAAGAATTCTCACTGCATGTCACTCTGCATGTTGTAACACCCTACCTTATAAACCCTAAATCAGAAGAATTAATAATTTTTAGTAGAAAATTTTTTTAAACCGATAATAATCTTTCCCTCGTACATAATATCAATATATACATTTTCAATAATCCATTCCTACATTTCATCATTTTTAAAAGTACTAAAAGTAAACATTCATAATTACATATAGATAAAATACTAGTACAGTCCTCCAAAATATTAAGGGCAACATTGGGGATACTTCCTACTAACTACATAAAAGAGTAACTACTACTCAGTACCATGTAGGTCTATATACTACAAAAGACTGCCTATAAAAGTTTAGATATGTTTATCCCAATACATGTTGCCATCATTGTGGCTCCCAACTAATGAGTATGAGTTTCATATTCATCGGGTGTGGAATCTGTGCCATCTTCCCTCTCTTCAAACAATGACCGATCAGGTCCAACGAGTACCGCAAGTACAAAGGAAATAAAGAAAATAAAAAGACAAGAGGGTGAGCAACAATTCATACATCATTTTAAAATCAACATCATAAACATTCACAAGTCAAATCAAATTCCAAATGATTGATGTTAATGATGCATGATCCTAATATGTTTTCTAAAATGTTTATGCATGCGGGCCCAAATCATTTCTCAAATCAGTACTGGGGTAGCCAGGAGTTGACACTACTAGGCATGAAAAATCCACCCATGGAATTGTTGAGACCCATGCTCAAATATAAACTCAGTAGCTCACTGATCATTGATATACGGTAAGAGCACAGCCAGGTACATGAGAGTTTGTACAGTGGGATCCCCAACAACAGGTAGCGAGTCTGGGTCTTTTGGGGTCTCCAACCACTACCCTTCCTATCCTCAAGTCCTCCCTCAGGGCCTCCCTATCGTATTCTCAGAGTCCATAATCTCTGATTCCCCAGATTTCACAAATCACCATTTTCAAATGAGTAGTGTATGAGTCTCTAAGTGGTTTTTCTTAGAAATTCACATTTTTCCAAAAATTTTGACAGAGTTTCCCCTGTAATACGGACTTCCCAAAAATTTTCAATCACCTGTTACAAGCAGAAAACTTCCAATACAGTTCAAAAAATGGTTCACAACCCATTATCCAATTCTTTCAATTTAATTTTCAATGAATTTTCTCATGAAAAACCACCATGCATATAAATGCTCACTCAAAAACAATACATATCATAATAGAGTTCCAAACATGCATTTTACACCATCATACATGTAAGCAATTCATTATCACTTTCACAACCAAACATATAATGAAATCAAAATTATCAATCATAACAATTTAGACAAATTTAATAAATAAGGTCAAACAAGTTTATGATATAATCCTTACTATATAGCTCACCCCTTACCTGATACGTCTACACTTATTCCTTTCAAAGCTTGATGTTGTGTTTCAGCAAAATCTATATACGTAATAAAATGCTAGTTAGAATATTATATTTCTATGATTCTATCTCATGAGAATTTAAATTCACTTTGTATTGCTAATCCATTTCTAATAATATTTTAAGCTTACATTTAGCTTACAATTAACTTAGAAAATTATCCTATTTTATAGGCACTTAGAGTAGAAAGAAACCTGATAACAACCATGAACAAGGTTCAGTATTTCAAAATTTTCTAGAGTTATATAAGTTGTTTTGGCATGAGATTTGAGCCAAAATGTCAATAACTTAATTACCTACAATATTGATGAAGGAAATAAATTCAAATACCCTATAGAATAGATGCAGTTTTCAGTGGTTGTTTCCAACTAGGCTCAACTACAATAACACTCTGAACATACCTTGGTAATTGAATTATAACTCTTGCTACACATAAGATATTAACATGAAATAAATTTCTAAATTTCGGGGATATAATTTCCTACAACTTTTATGAAGGAATCAAGTCCTAATTTCACACGTATCAATCTCATTAATTCAAAAACCTAGGCTGTTGAAACAGGGCTACCTCTTAACGTCACAGCTAGAACACTTGATAGTAAAATGAGCATAACTTAAGCTATAAATATCCGTTTAATGTGAAATCAGTTTCTAAATTTCGATAACTTAAAAAGCTACAACTTTCATGAAGATACCAATTCCTAATTCTGTTCACACAAGTCCCAAAAATTCAATGAATAGTACCTACGAATTAGGACTCTTAAAGTTTTTAGCTTAACCACTTCTAATCCTTAATTTTAAACATTATTCTAGTATCCTAGGTGTAAAATCTACAATAACACTCTTCCTACTCCCATTCAAACTCATTCAAGTGAGGATAAAAATAGAAAATGCACCGTTTTGAAAAATAAAACGGTAAAAATGTAGAAGAGATTGAGATGAACCAACTTACATCTTGGAGCTTCTCATGAAAATCAAGATTTTCCCAAATTTTGAGAGAAAGAGAGAAACGAGAACTATGGTTGCAGGTGCGCATTTCTGATGCGCCCAGCAGATTACATTAAAATAAAATTTATCTTTATTTTCTCCCTTTTACTCTAGCCAGGATTTGAACCCACAACCTCTAAGACTCAAACATCACTCCAAACCATATCAACCATCATAGGTTTCTTGTCAACTTATACACATAATACAGTTTTATTGTGCCCACACTAAATCCATACAAGAAAACAAAAATTTCTAAATGTGACAATTAAAATTGTTAAGTCCATACTCTTTAAATTTCAACCCTAAATCATATAATTACTATCAGGTTTCAAGTTGCTCATGAAATAGATCAAATTTAAGTATTTTCTAAAAATTCCAGAAAAATTCTAAAAAATCACAAATAATCTAATAACATAAAACTCTACAGTTACTTTACCTAATTCCTAATAATTTAATTATTAAAATTTTGACAAAAATTTTGTCAAAATTTAACAAATCAGGGGTATTGAGAATCAGGATGTTACACATGTCACTCACTCTCTCACATAACCCTTCGTAACTTCCTACCACACATTATATACCACTAGTGTATTGTCTTCCCGTGATCGAGCCTTGCTCATGATACCATAAAGGATACGAGAGAAGAGAGAAAGAAACAAGAGATATATTCTTTTATGTATATATGAAAGAGTAATACACCCTTTTATATAGGGTCAGAACACGTACATTAAATGAAAAGTAGAAAAACTGAAAAGTAACTGTCATATCATGAACAATTACTATATTTGGCTTATTTACAAACACCAATAATCTTATCAGCATTTCAAGGATCGGTTTATTAAAATCCATGTCCCTGAATCTAATCTGACCATGGTGGAGGTCTTTCCCCTTTATTGGATGACTAAACCTCGTTTTCAACCTGCTAAGCAACTAGGGGAACTAGAACAAGATGAATTCGAGCAGTGTGATGCTTGAGCGGCTGAATACCGCTTTATATACTTCCACGCTTCTTAAGTTAGAGTTCTGAGCAATAGACCTTAAAGTGTACATAGGTAGCTCCCTATCCTATTTGTTGTTGGTATTTGAGGTGTGTTTTCTTATGATTTTTCTGATGTTGCCGAAAAATAAATGGATTTATCGAAGAAGGAAATGAGTCGTCATTTTCGTGAAGCTATGGAAGTCGAGAAATAGTCTTCCAAGGCGTCAACTGCTGGAGAACCTTTCACTCTCCTTCATGTAGAGGATGTAGGCTCGTGGTTGAGCACACCAAGTCTGGCGTTAAGCTCACCTGTAAGCGGAAGTTGGCTCCTACTTCCGAGACTATCGTGGTTACATTAGTTCTTGAACTCTCCGCAAGGGGTAGTGGTGGAGATGCTTTTGGTGAGACTCTTGACAAACTCCCACATATGAACAGGGTAGAGATGACCCAAACTCTATAGTAATTTTTGTCTACGTCAATTTTATTGTTGTTCAAACTGTTCAGAGGGCTCGTGAAGTGGATTCCGCTCTCGAAGGTCAGAAAAAGGCACAGGAGGGTGAACTTTGTGCCTTAGATAAATTGGATGAGTGTCTGAAAGGTCATGCGACGATGAATGAGGTGTTGTAGAAGGTAGAAATGAAATTGTTGGAAGAGAATAAAGCGCATGAAGCTTTTCGTCAAAGTCATAAGGTCAAGATTAACTATATGGAGGAAAAAATAAATTTATTGGAGAAGGAAAAAGGTAACTTCCAACGAGTCGAAGATGTCGTAAATCGAGATCACGAAGATGTATGTGATTGGTTTTGTCAACGCACTAGAGTAGGTTGCAGTTCTCTTCCTAGTGTTGACCTATCTACTATGGGGTCATTTAAAAGTGTGGTAGATGGGAAGATCGTAGAAGAAAAGGAGTTACGATAATGTCTTTTTTAATTTTTAAGTTCTCATTGTTTGCTCTGTTTAATGTTATATGTACCAATCAATGACGGTTTAAGTTGTCCTCATATGTATGCTTTGACTCTTTATTTTTTTTATTATGTTTATACTTGGACTTTCATTTTCTTGGTACGAGCTAGAATGTTATATATCCCCGTGCTTGTGGTGAATTTTGTTTATATGGCATAGACCGACCTCAAAGGGTTATTGCGTAGAGTAAATAGGGGTTAAAGGACTATCGTGTAAAGTAATTCGACCTCAAAAGGTCATTGTGTATAATAAATCGATTTGAAATATTGTTGTGTTATTCAACATACTTGGAGGAAAAACCCTGAGAGGGATGAAAATTATTCAAGAGTGTTAATACAAAATTTATTCATTGAATGAACTTCAGTAAAACTGTAAATTGGCGGCATTTGCTGCTCATGACAAATCTTACTTCTCTTTTACAAAATTGAGCTCTCTAGTTCCTGGTGCTTGGCTCCGTGCCATGCTCAAAGTACATCACGTATGGGCACATTGATGAATGTTGGGCTTCTATGTTCAGTGCACACTCGACCCTGCGGCGATACTCAGAGACGTAAGTGTCTCTTGTATAACCAATCGATGGTTGTCGAATCTTTTAGTGCTGGCTAATTTGGATAGCAAGTTAACTCTACAGTGTTGTTTCTTGAGCATGTGAATGATGTTGAACGTGTCAAATGATGGTATCAATAGTTTCACCTCCTTTAAGTACTGGGCCAAAGGTGGGGTCTTGAGCTTGGTAGTCTCCTATGACCTAGCTAGTAACGAGTTGAGAGTCACTTTTTAAGACAAGATTGTTGACACCCATTTTGGTGACCGATTTCATGTTGATTAATAATGTCTCATGTTTTGCTTGGATGTTACTAGCTTTGAATGCGAATCGGAGTGATTGTTCAATCATCATCTCATTCAGTGTCTCTAATATGATATGATATGTACTCCATTGTCATTCAAGTTCGACACACCACCCATTGATAGTACCCAGGGTTCTCCATCACCATCCCTTAGGGCATTACCCGAAATGGGCATGAGTTCAATCACAAAGTCGGCTAAAAAGTGAGCTTTGATTGGGCTACATGGCTTGTAAGTTATGTCATATTCAAATAGCTCAACCACCCATTTTACCATTCGTTCGACTATATCTAACTTTCGTAACACGTGCCTTATTGATAGGTTGATCTTGATGACAACAGGAAAACTCTGAAAATAGTGTCTTAGTTGTCATGTTGTTATCACTATGCTCAATATTGCTCATTCGATTTTTTGACATTGGCTTTCTACCCCTTGGAGTACCCTGCTGACGAAGTAGATCGATTAGATTGCCCCCTCGTGTTCTTGCATCAAGGTTGACCTAACAACTTGATCCATTACCATGATGTAACACTATCAAGCTCTTCCCTCTTTTGGCTTAGACAAAATCAGGGGATTGGATAAAAACTCCTTTAATGCGAAAAATGCTTGCTCACATTAATTTATCCATGTGAACGGTTTGTTTTTCATAAACACTAATAATAGGGAAAACCTCGATCACCTACTTTCTGTTGTAAAATAAGAGATATTGCAAAACTTAGAACGTTACAGAGAATTTTTCTAAGAACGTGATAGAGAACTTTACTGAGAACGTTACAGAGAAAGTAGGTAGTTTGGGTTTTGAGTCCAATCTACACCTATAAATAGAGTTCACTTCACACTCTTCCGTACACACCTCTCTCATCTTCTCTTCTCTGTTTTCTTCCTGTTCTACTAGTATCCTGGGTTTATTTACTCCTTTAAGAGTTTCTAGTTTCTGAGATCCTCGGAAATTATGAGAAGTTCCTGTTGTATCTTTGAGGACTTGTGCAATACATTGTGAATAAGTCCTTAAGGACAGTGTTTATACATGCCTTAAGAATAAAGTTTGTATATGTCTCTGTTAGTTTTTACAACAATCTTAAGAACTTATGACTGACATTATGGATATCAATAATAACTTTATACCCTTGGATAAAGGAAGGGTAAAAGTTAGTCTTATTATTATGATTTATGTATCTTATTATGTGAGAATATGTAAATTAAATTAAATGTGGTATCAGAGCCATAATTATTAGATTTATGATTTTCCTCTTATGATAGTTTTTCCCAAATTAAGATTAACCCTAATTATGAATTCAGGGATTTCTCTATTAGATTAGAATGAACCTTAATTAATTTCCAAAATTGTTTTCCTAAAATTGAATAAAGGAATAAATCATAATTTATGTTTTAAGATGCAATCAATTTCAAATTGAAACCAATTTCATAGCCCTTGTATGTGAACGATCCTGTAATTCTTATTGAGATGTGAATGACCCCATAATTGATTTTAATTGAAAAGACAAATTACGTGATTGAGTTAGAGTGAATTATGTATGAAATTGGTTTCACTGTATATTATAATTATGATGGAAGAAAGGTAAACTTTTAGAAGTGCTATCAGCATGCATCATGCAGCATGCGCACAGAGTACACGTGCCAAACACAGTTTTTTTTTTCGGATTTATTACACTAATGCAACAGGGAAAATGAATTATGCATGAGTATTATATATTGTGAGAGATTTTTGGTAGTGAATAATTATTTTGTATATATGTGTATGATATTATTTTATCCACATGTTATTTTGTATATATGTGTAGGATATTATTTTGTACACACACGTGTATGATATTATCTTGTTCACATGTTATTTTGTATATATGTATAAGAAAGGGTTTGAGACTGTATCAAACCAAAAATCAATGGATCTAACCCCACTTTATCTTCAAGAAGAAGAGAAATTGCTTTGTCTACCAGGTCATCATGCACACCTCAGTGCAGACGTAGAATGAGAAACGACAACCCTCCTAAGGCAAATTTAGCTGAAGGAGAAGATACAATAATTATGGTCGTTTCCCAAAAAAACTTTGTGACAAATGTGAGCAAATGGGTGGTAGACTCTGGTGCTACCAAGCATATCTGTGCAAACAAAAATGTTTTTACCTCCTATACTAGTGTGGGGATGGAGAAGAACATGTTTATCTCGTTGATTCCAGGACAACTCCTGTCTTAGAAAAATGTAAAGTTCTTCTAAAGCTCACATCTGAAAAGACTCTGACCTTAAGTGGAGTGTGGGGGTGCCTAGCTAAAGTAATGTTATCCAATCCTAAGAAAAGGAAAATAGGAAAGACTCTAGCATTGAGTGGAGTGTGGGGTGTCTGGCTAAGGTAATGTTATCCAATTATAAGAAAAGTAAAATAAGCTCTAAAACTTCTGATTGTATATTTTTAGGTTATGCAGAACATAGTGCTACCTATAGATTTCTTGTCCTCAAAAGTGATGTAATTGAGCATAATATTATAGTGGAGAAAAAAATGTTGATTTCTTTGAACATATTTTTTCTCTAAAGGTTAGTGAGACACCTAAACAATCTATAGATATTAATAGTGATAAAGTATATGAGGATTTGAGGAGAAGTAAAAGACAAAGGAAGCAAACCTCCTTTGGAGATGATTTCTACCCTTATCTAGTTGACAATAATCCAATGAGTTTTTTAGAGGCTACTAGGGCTCCTGATGCAATACATTGGGATAAGGTCATTAAGACTGAAATTGATTCAATTAAAAAAAAATAATACTTGGACTTTAGTATATTTGCCTAAAGGAACAAAACCTATTGGTTGTAAGTGGATCTTTAAGAAAAAGTATTATCCTGATGGATCCGTAGATAAATATAAGGTAAGATTAGTAGCAAAGGGTTTTACTAAATAATCTAATATTGATTATTTTGACACATTTGCCCCTGTGACTAGAATTTCCTCTATTCGAGTTTTGTTAGCTCTAACAGCTATCCATAAACTAGTTATACACCAAATGGATGTTAAGACAATCTTTTTGAATGATGAATTAGAGAAGAAAATTTATATGACTCAACCTGAAGGGTGTGTTATTCCTGGTCAAGAGAACAAAATGTGTAAACTTTTAAAATCTTTGTATGGATTAAAACAAACACCAAAATAGTGGCATGAAAAACTTGATAGTGTTCTACTTTGTAATGGTTTCTCAACTAATGATGCTGATAAATGTATGTACTCTAAATTTAAGAGTGATGAGTGTGTCATTATATGTTTATATATAGATGACATGCTAATATTTGGTACATGCATTGACATTGTTTTCAGAACTAAGTTGTTTCTGGGATCTAAATTTTAAATGAAAGACATGGGTGAAGCCAATGTGATTTTGGGAATTAAAATCATAAGGAAGGGTGATAGTATTTTATTATCCCAAGAACAATACATTGAGAAACTTCTTAAGAAGTTTGGGCGTTATAACGTCAAACCAGTGAATACCCTTTATGACGCTAACTCTAAGTTAAAGAAAAATAGAGGGGACTCAATCTCTCCACCTCAATATGTCCACGTAATTGGGAGCTTATTGCATTTAATGAACTTTTCTAGACTTGACATTGCTTATGCAGTAGGTAGACTGAGTAGGTACATTAAATGCCCTAATTAGAAACATTGGAATGCACTTGCAAGACTTATACGATAATTAAGAGGCTCAATGGATTATGCCATTAAATATAGTGGATTTCCCGCTGTACTAGAATGGTACAATGATGCTAAGTTGATTTCTGATTCAAATGAGACAAAATACACTAGTGGTTATGTATTCATACTTAGGGGTGGTGCGATTACATGGAAATCAGCTAGACAAACAATAATTGTAAGATCAACAATGAAATCTGAATTTTTTGCTCTCAAAATGGCTGGTAGTGAAGCTGAGTGGTTGAAAAACTTCTTAGTAAGATCAACAATGGAATCTGAATTTGTTGCTCTTGAAATGACTGGTAGTGAAACTGAGTGGTTGAAAAACTTTTTAGTAAACGTTCCATTAGGAATTAAACCGACCCCGTTTGTATCAATACATTGTGATTGTCAATTGACAATAACTATAGCTAAAAATAAGAACTACAAATGAAAAAACAAACATATATAATTGAGACATAATTTAGTGAAGCAACTGCTAAAAAATAGAACAATTTCCATTGACCATGTGAAGTAAGAACGAAATCTAGCAGATCCTCTGACAAAACCCTTAACGAGAAATATGATTTTAAAAGCATCGAGGGGAATGAGACTTAAGCTACTTGCAAACAAACAGGTGATGGTAACCCAACCTTTGTGATTGGAGATCCCATGAATAAGGTTCATATCGGTAAAATCAAGTCACTTGTTAATTCTTCTAGCACTAAAATTGATTAAAATCAATTATGTTCATTCCTATGGTGTATATGTGAAAGTGTTAAATACTGCATCATTTAGAGGTTAAACTTTGTAATTAAAATTCTATGTGGTGTACAAATTTTAGTCTAAACAAAGTTTTTAACGATTTCATATCCCTTACGGTTGGTGTATGATTTGTAGCATACGCTTGATGAAGTCACCTATATGAGTGTCGAGTGAGGCCGCTTGTATGAGATCTTTGCAAGATTTCTAGAGCACTCATGAATATCAGGCATGCGCATGACCTAGTAAGCGTAACACAACGATAACAACAAGAATTGTGGGGTGTATTGTGATTGTTAAAACCGCTAACA